TAAGATATATTGATTTGATGGAAGGCATAAAACATGAATAGCTGAAACATTGACATTTTAAACAGAATTGTATCCAATCTAATCATATTTCAAAGGTAAAGGAACTTCTCTATCTAGATATTTTAATGGAAAAAAGTACAAATGTGCGTATAGGCAAGATTTTAATATTTTATATAATAATTACTGTTTAGCCTATCAATTTTTAGTGAAATTACATTTGATTAATTGGTTGGTTCTATAAATATGCATACATATATATATATATATATGACCTCAAACTAACATGAAATTACATCCAGTGTAGCGTTAGAGACTCCTTTTTTGAGTCTAACGGTGAAATTATGATGCACCACGGCTGATTTACAATTTTTGGTCACGAGAGCATCCAGTTCCACAACTCGAATGCCCAAATGGTGAGCCCTCTGAAATGAGGCAATGGTGTTTTCTGGCCATATAACATCCCCTTCCTCTCTGGCAGATTCAGCACCCATGCCACGATGTCCGATAAGCATAGGGAGTCTGGAAGTTCGGATATCCACGCCAAATGGTGGAGATGAATAAAGATCAATCGGCTTAGGAAGGTATTCCATATTAACTTTCGGCAAAGAATATTCATGTATAATAAGATAGTAAGCTGAAGGACTTGAATTAATAAATATGTACCACTTAATATGTCAGATAAGCCGGCCGACTCGGAGCTAATATGCAGTGAAATAGAGTCCTGATCATTTTCGTATGAACCTTCAAATTCAAGGATAGCGTTAGCTAGAGTGTTTATATGCTCAGCTCTGCAAGTGAGAGATATTCTCTTGAAAAATAAATTCCTTAGGCGTTACCCAATTCTCGCTAAGAGACGAGTCGCAGACGTCACAAATGAAACCAGAGATACAATCAGGTTTTATGTGAAGCCATTCGTTATTTACAAAGCTCGATTCACTGTCTCGGTGAAACACCTTGGACATTACATAATAAAATAGTAAATACAAATGGTTTTATATTTTTAAGGTTGACAATCCTTGAGCCATAAAGGATTTGGTCAACTTTTACGTAAGAAAAGCGCAAATGCTTAAATGAACAAAGATATAAGATTAATTTTCGGAACATTTAAGAGTAAGCAGGCAGGGAAAGAAACGCAAAGAATAACAGGTACGCGGGGCGACCCAACCAAAGCATTCGCTAAAGAAAAGAAAAGCAAAAATAAATACAAAGTGGTATTAAATGAATAGACTTTTCATGAATATATTTTATTTAAATATGACGCACCTTTTCAAAATAAAATACTACTTTTATTATACAAGTTAAGTACGTGTCAGTTCTTCATTACTTAATAACATCAAGATAATCTTCCTAGTAAATTTTAATTAAAGTAAAAATAGTATTAAATACACACAGAGTGGCAACTAGTGATCGCCATGAACACCATAATTACCTCTGAATCAAAGGCTGCAAGAATAAGATACACAAAGAGAGATTTTTAATGCCTCAAATGCAATAAATGTTTTAAATAACAGGCCTGAAAAAGTCTAACTGAGCGCAGACACTTAACTTAAATGAAAAATTAAGTAGCTCATATTTGGCAGAATTAATTTACCCTGATGACCCGATCAAGTATCGTGGAA